TGTTTTGTCTGCTCCACCAAACTGGGAGTTTCTTGGGGAAGGCAGAATATTTCAAGGCAGTGAGGAGCACTGGAAAGATTATTGATGTGTGACCAGGCAAACCTAGTTATATGACTTTGAGAAAAATGTATATAAAACCCTTAGAACAGTGCTTAGAACATAGTGTGCACTTCCTAGCTTCTATCATTATTCATCTCTCCGAACACCTCAGTTCTCTTGCTTATAAAATGAAGTGATAGCCAGGTGCAGTGGCTCCCGCCTGTAATCCCAGCACTTTGGGAGGCTGAGGTGGGTGGATCACGAGGCCAGGAGATCGAGACCATCCTGGCTAAAAAATGGTGAAACTCATCTCTACTAAAAATACAAAAAATTAGCCGAGCATGGTGGTGGGCGCCTGTAGTCCCAGCTACTCGGGAGGCTGAGGCAGAAGAATGGCGTGAACCTGGGAGAAAGAGCTTGCAGTGAGCCAAGATCGCGCCACCGCACTCCAGCCTGGGCAAGAGTTCGAGATTCTGTCTCCAAAAAAAAAAAAATGGAGTGATAAGTCCTATGTCAAGTGGTCTTCATATGGAACAGGGGTCTCTAGGACCTTCCTAGCACACAGTAGCCACTCAATAGCCATCTGGTAGCTATTATTACAAAGCCTCCTGCTGGATGCAGAGAAGGTGCTCAATAGAAGTTTATGAGATGAACTGAAGGAACAACTGAGAGAAATGTATTATCTTAGCAACTCGCATATCAAAAGAAAAACTTTCAGTCATTCATTCAACAATCATTTATTAAGGGCTTAACATTACGTGCCAGGCTTTGTTCTAGGTTTGGGATACTACAGTAAAAACAGTTCTTGCCTTATGAAACTTACATTCTAAAGGGGGAGGCAGACAATAAGCAGAGAAAGAGACAAATCAATAAAAGGTTGGTGTTAAGTGCTGTGCAGGAAAAAAAAAGGTAAGCCCTTGGAAAAGGACTGCCTGAAGAGGTGGCATTTAGGGAGAGATCTGGATCCTCAAGAAAGTTTAATTTGTGAGACTCATCCTCTCCCTCACAAGACACCAGGAGCTCTTCCAGTCCTCTAGCAACAAGAGACCCCATACAACCAAGGAGGCTGCAGTTTGCCTTCTAGTGCGTCTCTCTCAACTCAGACCAAGCTACAAACTGCTGAACAAGCAACTGCAAACGTATTTTTGTTACACTTTTTGAACTGGGCACTTAAGCTCTAAGTGGGAGTAAACTGATTACAGCCATACCGCAACTGGTCTGTTCCCCAGAAAGTTCAGATCGCTGTTCTCTCCAAACAGGTAACCTTCAGGATGAGCTGAGTCAAACTTCTCTCCTCCCATAATGAAGTGGCTGGCAAAATAGCTTCCTAGAGAAGAACAAACAGAAAAAAATCAAACAAGCAGAAAACAGTCAACCTAAATCTAGTTTTAAAAAAACAAAAAAAAAGCTGATTTTTAAAAATGTTAACCTTTTGGGACGTGCGTGGTGGCTCACACCTGTAATCCCAGCACTTTGAGAGGCTGAGACAGGCAGATCACCTGAGATCAGGAGTTCAAGACCAACCTGGCCAACATGGCAAAACCCTGTCTCTGCTAAAAATGTAAAAATTAGCCGGGTGTGGTGGCACATGCCTGTAGTCCCAGCTACTCAGGAAGCTGAGGCAGGAGGATGGCTTGAACCCGGGAGACAGAGATGCAGTGAGTCGAGATCCTACCACTGCACTTCAGTCTGGACAACAGAGCAAGACTCCGTTTCAAACAAACAAAAACAAAAAAGTTAACCCTCTGAATGAATCATTAGAGCAATTTCTAATTCCAAGAGTGTTTTCTTTTTCTGATTTGGGACAATGGCACAACATAAGCAAAATCATAGCAGGGAAAACCCAAGATACCAAACATAGAATAGATCACTGTTTTCCTTTTAACATTCTTAATTAAATTCTTCTAATGATCTGTTTAAAATACCTCCAGCCAAAAGACCAAAAGGTCCTACAATGCACAATAATGATCATATATATATATTTTGGTTCCTGACTTTTGCCTTTATAGTTATTCCATGTATTGAAGAATCTCAGCTACAGGTATCATCATATACATACACTGTGATATTATAAAATATATGTTTGATCTTCAACCCTATTTCCTGGAACACAACTCTTAAAATCTTTGGACTATCCAGGCGGGCGCGGTGGCTCATGCCTGTAATCCCAGCACTTTGGGAGGTCGAGGGGGGCGGATCACTTGAGGTCAGGAGTTAGAGACCAGTCTGGCCAACACAGTGAAACCCTGTCTCTACTAAAAATACAAAAATTAGGCCGGGCGCGGTGGCTCAAGCCTGTAATCCCAGCACTTTGGGAGGC